ATAAATAATAATTAATAATTAACAATTTCTTGAGTAAAAATAGTTTTATTGAAAAAAAGTTCTTTAAAAATAATTACTTATTTCTTAAATTGAAAAAAATTGTAAGTTTTTGTGACGATTTTTAGTGGCGATGTTTATTATATTAATATTATTTTTTCTAAATTTTATTTTCTTTCTTTGTTTACTGCAAAGCGTTATCTTCCCTCTCGTTCTAATATTCATTTCGTATTTAATTTTCTACGTTTATGACCTTTCAATGACATTATGTCTTTCATAACAATATAATTGTTTTGATGGTTCCCAATTAGGATAATAGATTTGAAAATCACAATAGAATAGAAATATATCAACTGAGTTCAATATTAATTAGTTGGAGGGGGTTCCGAGAAAAAAATTCCCAAACTGCGCTTGAGAGTTCACTTCTGAATTGCACGTCGCCTGAACAACTTTAATCATTCATAGTGGAAATTTAAAAATCACAGTGAGTTTCTATTTTTTTATTGCAATTAATTACTATTATTTCTTTACAATATTTTAAATTATTTTAAAATATTTAATTTTATTATTTACAATATATTAAAAATAATTTGAATTAGTGACTGACTTTTTGCTTTCGAATTAATAAATTTTAATTAATTAATTTTTAATTTTTTTTATATAAATTTTTAATTAGTTTAATTTGTTAATACATATTTAATTAATTATTAAAAATAATGGATTTATTAAAGAATTTTAGTTGAAAACACTAAAAAAAAATTGAATTTTGAATAAGTTACAAATTATTACAGAAATTCAATTATTTTGAAAAGTAATAAAATTCTTATCACAAAATTCAATTATGTTCAAAATTTTTACATGAAAATCTCGACAAAATCTCAATTATTATCTTTATAAATAAAAAAATTCTTCAAAATTCCAATTATTTTAAAAACTTTTAATAAAATTCTTGTCAAAATTTCAATTATTTTCAAAAATTTTCTCCTCATTTCAATAATTTTTAGAATCTACTATTTTAATAAAATTACCCAAAAGAATTCAATTATTTAAAAACAATTATAATAAAATTTTACGGAAAAATTTAATTATTTTCATAAATAATAAAAATTTCACAGTAATTCAAATATTGACAAATTTTTTGTAAGTTTTCTCTCAATAATTCAATTATTTTCAGAAATAATAAAACTCATTGCTGAATTTCAATTGTTTTTAATACAATTTTAATCGAATTCTAAATAATTTGAAAAATGTAACTATTATTGTAAAAAAATTTATTAAAATTCATCAAAAGAATTGAATTAGGTATTTAAAAATTTTTTAATAAAATTCTGTATAAGAATTAAATTTTAAGAAACATTCAATTATATAATAAATACTTTTGTATTTAAAATTTTAAATAATTGAATTCTCGTAGAATTTTCTAATAAAAATTGATTTGAAAATGAATTTTAGTTTAAATTTTAGATAATAATAGAATATGAAAATAATTTTTAAGAAGTTACAGTAACAATATTCTTGTAATATAAAATAATGATTTAAAAAATTCGATCCTCTTTAATTATTATAAATCATGAAGAAATCAATCGACTCGGAGTAATCGTTTTCTTTATGTTTTATAACAATATTTTTAAAGTTGATTATTAATTTCAAAAAGGTTTGAATTTTAATGTTTTGAAGAATTTTAATTCCTACGGAAAATAATAATAATAAATAAATATTTAAAATATTTAAAAAAGAAATTATTCTGTTCGAATAATATTTTACAATTAAATTCGATCGATTGTGAGAGAGTTTTCATGCCATCTGGGCGGACATTTACAGAACTAATGGCGGGAAATTTAAATTCAATAAAGTAGAAAACTAAAAAAATAACTCAGACAAATATTTAATGATATTGATAATATTTGTAGTAAAAAAATAGAGAGAGAGAGAGAGAGAAAGAGAGACAGAGAGACTATATTTGAATTATAAAAATAAATTCTTCCTTCTTGTGAATGGAAAAAAATTTTATTATCTATAAAAAAAAATTGAAAGAAAACCCATCTCACAATCGTGACGGGTTAAAGGGAATAATAATGACCTGCTTTTAAAATGTAAATAGTATAAAAATGATCGATTGTACCTGCAAAAACACCCCCCCCCCTTCTCATCCCCCCTCTTTCTCTCTCGTTCCCCTTTAATCGAAATTTATTCCAAGCGTATAAATAAGCATTTTATCATTCTCAAAGAAGATTTGAATCGTCGTCGAATCACGCGAGAATGAAAAAGAATTGTGATTTTTCGAAAACTCGATTTACAACTTTTCCTCTGGAAATTATATCTCTGTATGTCTTATATTCTTCTCATTTCGCGATATTCCCCCTATTTTATTGTCTTGAGACGATTCGACATTAAAATATATATAGTATACTCTTCCTCCCTTTCAAAATTACGTTGCCCTTTCGGAAAATGATAAGAGTCTAAAGATGGAGAGAGAGAGAGAAAAGAATCGCATTTGCTGGTGGGGGAGTAAAATACCTTTTAAGTAATTAATTTAATTTTTAAAGTTTATATTCTATAAATAAAAGAATATAATTTTTTTTTTGGAAAAGTGTAATTTTTTGTCTCTTAATATTCATACAATTCGAAAATGAAAATTGAAAATTTTTTTTTTAATAATATTAATGAAAATATATAAATATTTCAACATTTCTGAGAGTTTTTTAATTTTAATATTAATTCCACTAATTATTGAAGTTATTAATTATTTGATAATTTGTTTGAAATATTTATTTTTATAATTATTTAAGTAAATAATTGTTATTAAGAGGGTTTCTAAAATTTTCTCCTTATAAAATTCCATGATTTTTCCATGATTTCCAGGTGATAAATGATAAAATTTCCATGACAGATTAAAACAAAATTTTTGTCAGTCAAGTCAGGTGAATGTCATGAAAAAAAAATTTTTATCAAGAAAATTAAGAAAATTGAGACTTTTTTTACTTATTTTCAAAAATTGTGACTTTTTTGACTTTTCTTCCGAACATTGCAACAAAATACCACAATTTTTAGTAAAAAAGTGCAACTTATTTTGATTTTTATAATGCGAAAAAGAACTATAAATAAATTTTTTAAAAATTGTTTTTAAATAGTTAAAATTTTCGTAAAATTTAATTGAAAATAATAAATTTATTTCAAGTATTTTGTTGAAATTTTTGAAAATCAAATTTTTGAAGAATTTTAATTGCAAATTTTGAAAATAATTTAATTATCAAAAATTTTAATAAAAAATCTTTGAAGGTAAATTTAAAAATGAAAATTAGCTTCTAATTTTTTAAAATTCAATATTTTTAATTAAAAATTTACAAAAATAATAATATTTTAGAATTATTTTTAACATATTGGAGAAAATAATAATGTTCAAAATTTTTAATTATAACTCATCAAAAAATTCATTAGTTTTTTTAAATTATACAAAAATTCTTTTAAGAAATACATTTTCGAAAAAATACATTAATAAAATATTTTTAAAAACTGATTATTAGAATTGTTTTGTAATTATTTTTTAAGATTCAAAATTTACTTTTTGGACTTATTAAAATTTTTGAGAAATCATGGTCCTGTTTATAATTAAAATTCTTCAAAAATTTGATCCTTTTTATTTATACTTTTGAACAATTCAATTATTTATTTATTTTTAAAAGACTTTTCTAAATTTTTATTGTTTGGAAATTTTCTAAAATTGAAAAACTATTATCGTTCAAAAATTATTTAAAAATATTTTTAAAGAATTAATTTTTAAGAATTTCTTTATTATAATTTTTTGAAAATATTATACCTTAATAAGTTAAGAAAAAACTATGGAGAGTCACAAGTATTATAAAAAATATGTATTAAAAAAAATAAATAATTAAATTCTAGAAGAATTTTTGGAAAATTATTTAAATTAATCGATTCAGGAGATAAAGTTTAGTTGAAAATTGTACAAAATAATTAAATTCAGGAAGAGTTATAATTTTAATTTTTAGAAATTCATAAAATTCATAAATAATAATTCAAAATATATTTTCAAAAGTTAATGAATTTAATATTTAAATAATTTTAAACTCAAATAATTATTAGCAATAAAATAAAAATCTATTTCTAGAAGAATTTTTAATTATTAAAATAAATATTTTATAGAACAATTATTGATCAATTATTAATGGAATAAACATTAAAATAATTATTGACAATTTATGTAAATAATATTAATTATTCAAATAATTATTTAGATTAATTACTAGAATTATAGCTAATTATAATTATTTACACAAATAATTATTGAAATAAATATTAAAATAAATATTAAAATAATATTGACTTAAATTATTCAAATATCATTTAAATAAATATTAAAATAAATATTAAAATAATTTTTGGAAGAATAATTAGATATAAACCACAATCGATTTGGTTAAATTTCTCCTTTTATTAAATTTGAATTTCGCGCCTTTAATTCACCAAACTGCCGCATAGATGGCATGAAAGTTCTCTCACAAACGAGAAGCAGGGCTCGTGGTATAAGAGTCTCTGGCTCTACGAACTTCTGTACTTGTCCTGTTGAACTTTCGTTAAAATTATCAAAAAAAATGTATTTGCCTACAATAAGAATTAATTATCAAGAATAAAATAAATCCTAAATTTATGATTAACGAAAAAATGAAAATTAATAATTTTCGAAAGGTATTTAAATGTATTAAATTTTTTTTTAAATCCCCCATTAATTGCAGTGATTAATTATTGAAATTTCTCCCTAATGGAAATGTTTCTTCACTTTTGTTTCTTCCCCTCTTCAAGAGTGACACAAAGTCAAGAGAGAATATATCGAACCCCTTTAAATTACTCCATTAAGACCCCATAATTCTTGGATAAAGGTCCCTTCACACAGAGACAGAAATATTTTCAAAAGATAGTAGTCTATGTCTATATCTATATTTCTATCAGTAATCTAACAACGTTGGGTTTTGTCTTCTCTGTTTCAGAATGCACGTTTCCTTCGCGTTGGGAGGGCACTTGGTTCCAGAGCGGTGTACGCCAAGCGATCATGATATCAAGGGACGTACTCTCCAGCAAAGGAAAGTGTCTTCACAATGAGGGTGACAAGTTTCTTCTCGTCGACGAGTGAGTATTTTTTTTTTTCTTAAATTTTTCTTTTTTTTTTTTTTTTTATTATCTTGTCCTGCTAATAAGAGTTTTCAAATTTATGAGAGTATAAAAGAGAGTGTATACACCTCTTTCTCGTCGTCGTCGTCGTTGTTCACGTCTTTTGTTTTGTTACACGAATTTAATTAACGTTTGCGTACCGGGAGTGTAAAAAAGAGGAAAAAATTAGGGTTCTACTAATATACCTTTTTTATGACCTGGACAGAAAGTAATTTTTTTTAAAGTTTCGTTCATTTTTTTTTCACGCGAATAATTGATATCATTTGTTTAGGCGGGAGGAAACAAGAGTGAAAAAATTTGAATTTTTTTATGCTTTATTGCATTTTTTGAAGAAGACGATTGCAATTTATTTTTTGTAAAAATATAAGAATTTTGTTATTTAAAAAGTAATTTTGTAATTTAAAGAGAATTTTATTATTCAAAAAGTAATCCTATTATTTAAAAAGAAATTTTATTATTTAAAAAGTAATTTTATTATTTAAAAAGTAATTTTATTATTTAAAAAGTAATTTTATTATTTAAAACGATAATTTTATTATTTAAAACATAATTTTCTTATTTTAAACACAATTTTTTTTATTTTAAAAACAATTTTCTTATATAAAAAGCAATTTTATTTATACGTAAGAAAATAATTGTCTTATTTAAACAATAATTTTACTAAAAATTAAATAATTTGCTTTTATTTAATCAAAAATGTTACTAAAAATAAAAAAAATCTTTTTATTTAAAAAATAATGTTTGTAAAATAAAAAAGCGTTAGTCTCAAAGTTTTATTTATAAAAATTAAATAATTTTATTATTTTCAAAACAGTTTTACTGAAAATATAGGGTAAGTGCGTCAATTGCTGCGGGTGCTTCAGTTTCTGCGGCATTTTAATAATTTAAGTGAATACATTTGTTCAGGGCACAAATAATTTTGAATTTTTTTTAAAAAATTACTTAACGATGTAAGTTTTAAAATAGATATAGGAAGTATATACCAAAACTTAATATTTATGTATTTTATTTTAATTAAAAGTTGACGTGTGCAAGGTTTTATTTATTTTCATTGCTAAATTTGCTGGCGGTGCAAAAATACCTACATAAAAAAGGCTTTATTATTGTTTTTAGACTTAAAGTGGTTATTATTATGATGATTTCAGATAAAGAAAACCTTGTTTTAAAAGAAAAATTAAACTTTACTTTATTTTTGTCTGTTATTATATTTTATTTTTAAGAGTAGTAATTAACACAGAATTTGGGCTTGATTTAATTTCTACTCCCTCAGAAAATCAACTAAGACTGGTTACAATAAAAAGAATAAAAGAATAAAAGAATAAAAAGAGCAAGAGAAAATTATGGAAATGAAAGAAAAAATGAAGATTATGGAGGAAAAACTAAAGAAAATTTAATAAATACATAAATTAATTAAGGAAAAATTCTGTTATTAAGTTTTAACTAAATGTTTCAAAAATGTGATAATTCAGAAATTATTTGTTACTTTTGTTAATATATGATATATATTTATTTTTAATAAATTTATATTCTATTCAATTAAACATTGATTAAAATCATTGTCCCATTTTGATTTCATAGTAGTTTGCGGTATTATACACATAAACACGAAATTATGCGCAGAAACTGACCCACAGGAATTAAATTCGCGCAGCAACTGATGCGCAGCAACTGACTCAAACGCGCAGAATTAAACGCATTGAATATTATTTTTAATTCATTAAATTTATTAAAATAAATTATATTTTAGAGATGTTATTTATTGTAAACATATCTTAATAACACAAACTACAAATTTAATAAGACATAAGTTCAATTTGATCAATATAAAAATTATATTTTATAGTTAAAAGACGTCTTGACCAAAATACCGCAGGAATTAGTACAATTACCCTAATTTTTTTTAAAACAATTTTACCAAAAATAAAATAATTTTTTTATTTAAAAATCAACTTTACTAAAAATTAAATAATTTTCTTATTTAAACAACAATTTTACTAAGAATAAAAGAATCTTTTTTTTAAAAAAATAATGTTACTAAAAATTAGATAATTTTATTATTTTCAAATCAATTTTACTGAAAACAAAATAAATTGTTAATTTAAAAAACAATTTTCCTAAAAATTAAATCGGTTATCACAAAGTTTTATTTATGAAAATAAATAATTTTATTCTTTTGAAAACAATTTTGCTAAAAATAAAAAAAATTTTCATTTAAAAAGCATTTTTATTAAAAATTTGAACAATTTTATTATTTTGAAAACAATTTTATTATTTGAAATCAATTTTATTTTTGTTTATTTATTTATTTACGACGCAATAACTGGACGAGCCCTTTCGTACAATTTATATTTATTAAAAATAAAATAGTTTTAATATTTTGAAAACTATTTTATTATTCAAAAAATAATTTCATTAAAAATAATAAATAAAGTCTAGCCTCTATATAGTTATTGTTGATAAATAATAATAATAAAGTAATTTGAATTTTTAAAACTAATAATTTTCCTCTTAAATTTTTAAAATATTTATTTAATAATAAAATTGTTTTCTAAATAGTAAAATAATTTTTTTCTTTTATTTATTGACTAAAAAGTATTAGATTATAGACATTTTTTAAATCGTTTCGTTTCAATTTTTTATTATGGGAAAACTTTAATTAATTGCACTATTTATTCGTTACTAATCAGTTAATTATTTGCGCAAAACAAATGGAAACGCTTTTTTTTTGTGAAAGTCTGAACTAAAACTATTTTTCCTTCACTGACAAAAAAAAAGTAGTAGAAGTTTTTTTTTATATAAATAGACACGACCCGCAGAAAAACTACTCAAGTTCATTATCGTCTAAAGAAAAGACTTTGTGGAATTTTATTACATTTTTTTAATTCACGTCAGCAAATTAATTTTTATCAAAAGAAAATTTAATTTTGAGTAGTATTCGGTTATTTTATTATTCATTATTCATTATTTATTATTCAAAAATAAAAATTTATACTGCAAAGAGATAATTTTTTAAATAAATATCAGAAAAAATAGTCTCTGAATTCTGAAAAATATATTTAATTAATTATTTTATGCAAACGGGCAGTGGTCACGGTCGTTAAGGCGCCGTATGCGTGTGGATTTTCAGAGGTTCGATTCTTCGTAGGGGAATTTTTTATTTATTCGATAAAAATAATAATTATACTAAATAAATAATAAGTTTTCGACAAAAATAATAAGTTTTCGACAAAAATAATAATTATGCAAAATAAACAGTAATCATTCCAAAAATTATAATTATTCGATACAAATAATAATCATCCCATACATTTTATTTCGATTGCGAGCGAGTTTTCATGCCCTCTAGGCGGATATTTACAGAAATATATTGGCGCGAAATTCAAATTCAATAAAAAAATTAAAATATTGATAATGAAAACAATAAAAATAATAACAATAATATATTAATAAAATAATAGAAATAATGATAATAAAACAATAAAAATAATAATTTAATGTATATAATTATTCTATATAAATAATAATTATTTAGTAAAAATAATAAATTATTTAATACAAATAATTACTATTAAAAAAAATAATATAATTAAGTGTAAAAAAATTATATAAAAATAGTAGATGTTTTGCATTATAGTGATGTCTATATTTATATAGAGTGAGAGAAAGTGAGATTTTTGCTCGAGGCTTAGAGGGAATTAAAAGAGGATTATAAGTGAGTTTATTGTTCTTATTTTTTCAACAATCTAGACATTAAAAAGAAACAGTTTGAGAACATAAAGATTGTGTACTCGATATTTTCATGCAAATTTTTCCTCCTTTTTTCGCATCCCCTCTCAAATAACTTTTTATTTAAAATTCTATTTACAACTTTAATATTATACACAAAAGTTTTCTGACATTGTAATTTTCCCATTTCTTTGTCGACAAAATTTGTCCTCTCAAGTTTGTTAATTATTTCTTCTTTTGAGTGTATAATTTTCTCTGATTTTCCACGTTTGTTAATTCCATTATTTTTTTTTTTTTTTGCTTTGCTTTTAACAATTTTTAATTTATTTCCATATTTTTAAATAACTTTTTATGTATAGGTATTTCAGTCATTTTTTTTTATTTTACTTATTTTTTATTTCCGGTATTTTTTTAATAATTTATTTATTCGCACATGTTTATTATCACATTTCATTGAACAATTTAATATTTATTTCATAACATTTTTCCAAATGTTTTTTTATTGATTTTTTATTTATTCGCACATTTTTCATTTTCATGTATTTTCCAATAATTTTTTATTTATTCGCACATTTTTATTTGCATATTTTTTTTTAACAATTTATTATTTATTTGAACATTATTTTCTTATTTTTAAACAATTATTTATTTTCTCATTTTTCATTTATTTACACATTTTTTGTTCACTTTTAAATTCTTTATTTATTTCCACATTTTTTAATTTATTGTTTATATTTTTCAGTAATATTTTTATTTATTTTTAATCATTTATAAAAGAATTTATTTTAATTTAAAAAATATGTTTTAATTTTTTATTTATTTTAGTTTTGTTTTTTAATTTTATTTACTCTTTTTCCTCTCAGGTGAGAAAACAATTGTTTGCACTCTACAGAAAAAAATATTTTCTCACCCATAGACATTTTGTTTTCTCGTGTATATTTCTTTTTTTTTTTATTTATATACATGGAAGTTGTCATTGTCATTGCGCGAGACATAAAACATTACACACCGAGGGGGAGATTTTATTTTTTTCTTTTCTTCTTTTTTTTTCAAGGAATTTAATAAAATTTTTTATCTAACCTCAGGTGAATCTTGGTTATATTCAAATTGAAGAATGTTATACCGTAAATTCTTTGAAATACGTCCAAGATTTTTCTTATTTAATCCTAGCTTTTTCACTTGAAGAAGCTTTTCAAGTTAGCTGGCTGTGAAATTTTAATTACATTCACGCT